AAGAGTACAAAGAGTTGGTTTATTCCAGCCAACCACTCTTCAGTCATACCCTTTCTTTGGCTGAAGAGTAACAAGAGTTGGTTTATTCCAGCCAACCACTCTTTAGCCATACCCTTACTTCGGCTGGAGAGTAACAAGAGTTGGTTTATTCCAGCCAACCACTCTTCAGCCATACCCTTACTTTGGCTGAAGAGTAACAAGAGTTGGTTTATTCTAGCCAACCACTCTTCAGCCATACCCTTACTTCGGCTGAAGAGTAACAAGAGTTGGTTTATTCTAGCCAACCTCTAAGTTAGTTTTTCCAGCCAACTTAGAATAATGTTTAGTTATTCCGACCAAACGTCCTGCAGCCTGGATCCTTATCCTGGGCTTAGGAAGGGTGTTGGTTTATTCCAGCCAACCTCTAGGTTAGTTTTTTCCCGCTAACTTCGAATAATATTTGGTTATTCCGACCAAACGTCCTGCAGCCTGGATCCTTATCCTGGGCTTAGGAAGGGTGTTGGTTTATTCCAGCCAACCTCTAAGTTAGTTTCTCTAGCCAACTTAGAATAATGTTTGGTTATTCCGACCAGTGGGATTACTGCTTCCATTCCGTAGGCTAAGGAGAATGGTGTCTCTCCTGTTGATCGTCGAGGTGTGGTGCGGTAAGCCCATAAAACATGAGGAAGTTCGTCCGCCCACTTGCCTTTTGCCTTCTCTAACCTTTTCTTCAGTCCATCCAAGACGACTTTATTTGATGCTTCTGCTTGGCCATTTGCTTGAGGATATGCCGGCGTAGAATTGTAGAACTCTATCTTGTACTCTTCACAAAAGCCTCTGAAGATTCTGCCGTCAAACTGAGTACTATTGTCTGAGATTAGGGCTTTTGGTATGCCAAACCGAGTGATGATATTCTGCCAAACGAACTTCTTCACATCTTTTTCTTTGATTGATGCCAATGCTTCTGCTTCCACCCACTTTGTGAAGTAGTCTGTTGCTACGAGAAAGAAATTTCTGTTGCCTGGTGCTGTTGGAAGTGGTCCTACTATGTCCAAGCCCCACATTGCGAAAGGCCATGGGCTGGTCAATGGAAGGAGTTCTCTAGCTGGTTGATGTATTTGATGTGTGAATTTCTGACATTTCTCTCACTTCTTCACATATTTCTCTGAGTCTGCCTGCATGTATGGCCACTAATATCCTTGCGAAATGGCCCAGTAAGCTAGCGATTTTCCACCTTGATGGCTTCCGTACACTCCTTCGTATATTTCGAACAAGAATGCTTCCACTTTGCTGGGATAGACACACTTTAGGTAAGGTCCTGAGAATGACTTCTTGTATAATGCCAAGGATGGGGAGAGCTAAAATCGCTGTGACATCGCTCTTATTCTGTTGGCTTCTTTTTTCTCTTCTGGTAAGATGCCGTCTTTTAAGAACAGGATGATGGGATCCATCCAAGAGGGGCCTAGTTCTGTGCAGCATACTTCTTCTGCTTCTGGGTCTTCAATACTTGGTCTAGATAGGTAGTCGATCAGTAGTGGGTGAGGGATGGTGGTGTCTGCCATTGAGGCGAAACCTGCTAGTTCGTCTGCTCTGCTGTTTTCCTCCCTGCCAATTTGTTCTATCCTTACTACTTCAAACTTTTTGATCTCTGTTCTGACCAATTCTTGGTACTTGGCCATCCTATCATCCTTTGCTTCGTAGTCGCCAGAAACTTGGTTTACCACCAGCTGTGAGTTGCTGTATACCATTAGTTCGGTGGCCTTCATGTAGTATGCTGATTTGAGTCCTGCGAGAAGAGCTTCATACTCCGCTTCGTTGTTTGATGCTGGGAAGCCAAGGTTGATTGCTTGCTCTACAACCAGGCCGTCTGGTGAGATGAGGACTATGCCAAGTCCTGCACCATGCCGGTTGGATGCTCCATCCACAAAGAGCTTCCACATTTCTCCAACGAACAACTTCCAGCAAGTGGAGGGGTCAGATGATGTTGTGGGGTCAAGAATGTTGCTAGTGTTTTTTTCAAGGTCCATGCTTGCTGTCTGCCCCTCGCCATCTGATTATACCAAGTCTTTATTTGTTGGTGAGTCTTGGCTTGGTGCAGCTTGGTTTGCTTCTTCCTTGCTATCTTTAGACTGGTCTGCCTTGGAGTCTGGCTGAGTATCTTCTGCTAGGGGTTGCGCTATTCCGGCGTCAACTTCCATCCCTAGTTCGGTTGTGTCAGTTAGGTCGACTGGGCAGATATGATGGCTTCCAGGAGTAAACTCTACAACTAAGTCTGCCAAAAATTGGGCCTTTACTGTGGTTCTGGGTTGGAACTTGATGTCAAATTGTCCCAACTCTACTGCCCACTTCAAGATTCGCCCAGAAAAGTTCGCCCTCTCAAACAAAGCTTTTAGTGGAAAGGCTGTGAGGACGACTATGGTGTGGGCATGAAAGTAGTGTGCCAATTTCCTGGAGGCCATCATTAAGGCCAATGCTAATTTTTCCAAGGGCAAGTACCTTGTTTCGGCTCCCAACAATGTCTTGCTAACATAAAAGATGGGAAGGTGTTGTATTCCTTCTGCACGAACCAACATTGCGCTAACTGCGTGTTGAGAGACTGCCAGGTACAAGAAGAGTTCTTCACCAGGTACTAGGGTAACAAGCAGTGGTGGGGAAGACATATATTCCTTCAAGCTTTCCAGAGCTTGGTCGCATTCTTCATCCCACTCAAACTTGGCCTTTAAAGCTTGAAAGAATGGTCGTAGTCTGTCTGATGAACGGCTTATGAACCGATTGAGCGCAGCCGCCATGCCGGTGAGATGCTGCACTTCTTTGACTGAGTTTGGTCTCTCCAAATCCTGGATTGCTTTGATCTGAGAGGGATCTGCTTCTATACGTCGGTTGGTCACAAGGAAGCCCAAGAATTTGCCAGATCCTACTCCGAATGCACACTTGGACGCATTAAGGCGCAACTTGTGCTTCTTTAGGATTTCAAACATCTCGCCTAGGTCCTTGAGGTGGTCATTCTCATCCTTGCTCTTGACCACCATGTCGTCGATGTAAGCCTCCATTGTTCTGCCTAACAATGGTTCAAACATCTTGGTGACCATCCGTTGGAATGTTGCCCCTGCGTTCTTTAGGCCAAAGGGCATGACCTTGTAACAGTATAGTCCTCTTGGAGTTGTAAAGGATGTGACCTCCTGGTCTGGTTCATGCATGGCGATCTGGTCGTAGCCTCTGTATGCATCCAAAAATCTAAGTCGATTGTGCCCCGCCGTTAGGTCTACCAATTGATCTATTCTTTGTAACGCCCTCAAAATTAACCCATTATATATCATTGACATGCATTATTTAAAGAAGACAATTTATGAATTCATTCATCAGAGTAATACTAAATAAAGCATTACATGTAATATCGAATAAAACGCCCTACAGGCTTACATCTTTCCAAGCCAACACTTGGATACAAAAATATGAGTTCTAACTCAATACAAGAAAAGCCCTAGGCTTGAATGTTTACATGTAATATCAAATAAATAAATATAACTAAAGGTAGTCGAAATTTTTTTTATCTTATTTTATTTTATTCTTTTTGAGGTGTTAAGCTTCTTCGACCTTATTCAAGCATCCACAATGACCTGACTGAGGTGAGCATAATAGGGATGCAACGTTAATTACTGTGACAATTTGCTGAATTGATTCAAAATTTTTCTTAGGTGAAAATTTTGGTTATCTACTGGTTCATTGGTCATATCTACTTCTTCTTCTTGTGACAATTTGCTGAATTGATTCAAAATTTTTCTTAGGTGAAAATTTTGGTTATCTACTGGTTCATTGGTCAAAATTTTGGTCAAATACTGTGACAATTTGCTGAATTGATTCA